AAATTTCTATTCCAACCTTGAAAATGAAGTAATCATTTTCACTGTCTTGTCCACGTTTATATAGTCTGTGAAAAACAACATGGCAAGAACCAGGGGTGTAAATTATAGGGGGTGGGGGGTAGTCACTCCCCCAATAATCAAATCCAGGCCCTGGAGACCGCAATCCCCCTCCTCCCCCCAAAAGCTCAACCGAAAATGATGCCCTTGGTAAGAGCAAATAGGGCGAAGATGCACTTTTTGCAGTTTATTTTCTGAACATTGTAGTTTCACACAGTGGACCCACGTCTATAATTGCGTAGCCTCGTGTAAGTTCAGTATTATTCTCTTAGCACCGCAGTCGTCTTCTCTTAGGTCCTTATGACTTTTCCTTCACCTCATGACGTTTTCCATCAAGGCTGAGGAAAAGTGGTTAGGAAAAGGACACAAGATACTATTCAACCACAGCCCTAAACATGTTCTATCAGATATTCATTTTCCATTTTAAAATCAACTTCCTAATGGTGGCGTTGTTGATAGTCCCTTACTACTGTGGATTTTTGAAAGCTGTCATTTGGAGAAAGAAGTTGCTGATAATGGCCAACAGGTGTCACCCAAACATCTCACAAAGAAATTCACCGTGTTCTACGTGACCCAAAACTCAATTTTGCACATTGCTTATGATTAATTAAAACTGTCTTAAGATTCGGAGCGAGGTGAATCCATCTAATCTTGTCTCTCCTCAACTTCACCAGAACCCCACGTCCCGGGTACGGAGTGCGTCCACCCGCGCAGCCGCATGATGAACCGGAAGCCGCGTGTAGTGAACTCCAGCGAGCTGCACATCAGCTCAGGCTCGACGGTGAACACCTGTTTGAGCCAGGGCAGCCTGATGGACCTGTACGATATCCTACTGGAGGACATCAGAGAGGAACCGCAGGGCGAGGAGGAGAGCGGCTCAGGCGGCCCGAGCGGTTCAGAGTCACGCAACAGCTCCAGCAGCAGCAGCAGCCAAGACTAGCAGTGCCGTTTTGAAAGGGAGCGCATGGATCCGTACAGAGACCATACCCTAAATTGCTAACTGATCACACTTGGGTATGGGGACCAAGATTCCAAAAATGTTAACTACCCAGCAATAAATATTGGGTTGGACTTAAGTACCCGTGTCAGTACTGTGTGCTTGGGCTGAGTATTGGCGAGAACATGGCGATACAATAGTTGTTGTCATACAGGGGTTACGATTCAATAGGTGCTACTCTTTAAAAAATCTGGTTCAAGGAAAATTATCGTAGTATAAAGAACATGCCACCAAATTAAACGGCATAGTTCTTGTCGACCACCATGCAATCAGAACAGTAGGATCAGCGCTTGCATTTCTCACAGTTCCTGTAACATTCCGACATCACAGCACAACTTTTGTGGAATGCGAGCAAATTTCAGTAAAAAAAAAAAAAAAGTGCTTGCAAGATACTTGACACATTTTGTAAACGGCATGGCTCTTGTTGACCTCCTTAGCACATTTCTTTATTGTGGAAGCCAATATAAGGCCACACTTCAGCTCTGTATGCTTTCAGAGCCGATTTTAGATTCAACCATTGGTTGTAACGTTACTAGTCAGCTAGGTTTGCTAATCTATTCCATTTGAACTCGGAATCTATGACTTCCTAGTCTCATAAAAAAAGTCCTACAAGATAACGATAAGAGGGCTTTGTCGTTATAGTTCAGTACAACGGAATTGTGTTGGAATTCTCTTCTTGCGTTGCGATTACAACAGAAATGGACAATACGCTATCACTTGGGTGAGCTGGTCATTTGACTGCATATCAGTTTATGTCCGTGGCACTTAGCAGTATTGGCCATATACTTCAAACAGCGTTCAAACGGCAACGCTCACGGTTATAATCTAACGAAATACAGGCATTTCACAGCAAACATTACACGGTAGTGACATTTACCACTTACAGAAATACATAATACATATTAATTTATACTCTTTAAAGTACAATGCTGTGCAAAGCATTCTGTTAACTGCATATTTTTTTGGGTTTCGTTGTGCAAGACTGAGGCGTCACATTTATGTCTGCCAATCAAGGACAGTGGATGACATCAGAGGAAACCTCAGGAACTCTGCACCGACAGTGCGCTGAAACGGTGATCACCGTGATGATTACATGCCATGCAACATCGATTTTGTCTGAAGTATACAGCCAGATTAAACATCTGACTGCGGTTGTGTTAAGTTAAAGTTAAAACAGGGCTGCCTGGTTCATTGAAGTTGATAAAAAAAAAAATTAAAAATAAAGTTAATGATTTATCATTTTCCAACTGTCAGCCTGCACAGCGAATAAATAAAGCAGTATCACCAGTTTATTTGTTTTAAGAATTCCAGAAGCCCTTACTGCCCCCAGCACAATGTTAAGCGTGTCCTGTTTCTGAGGCTAGTAACGTAAATATTATTTGGTGAGTGAGTGAGTATGACTTCAGCCAGATTCAAGTATAACCTGTTAAAATTATACATCCGTTACATGTTTAATTTCAGCATCTATCTCTGTTTTGCAAGAGAAGCCTCAAGTTTTTTTTGCTTCCTGTCCTCACAAAGCCACTCTTGCCCAGCTTACAAACCAGACTAGACCCAGTGTGAATGACCACTCGGACTGTTATACTAGCTACACAAACCCGCACCTGATCCACTAAATCCAGTTCAGTCAGTGCTTCCCAGCAGCACTCCTGAGTACAAAACAGTCAACCTTTTTCATCTTTAAAAGGGTTTTTAAACAGGCTAACTGTACAATCGTTCAATTTGTGGTTAGGCCTACATGAATTCCACTCATTAAACCGTGGCTCTAAACTGAGGTGAATTTTACAGTGGGGTGTGAAGGAGGGAAGAAAAGTGATCATTCATGGAGAAGGTCCAGCAAACAGAGGACTTAATTAATTGAATAGAACAGAAAAGGGGAACCACAAAAAGGGCCTGGAGGGGTCAAAAACAAGACTGGAAAAATAAGAACTAACTAAAGAGTAACCATGTAGTAACACACTAAGAAAACAGAAAACTGGGAGTTAGCCTGGGAGACAACCCACAGCTACCAACAAAGAGTACCAACAACGACTGACAAACTAACGGAGTGAGGGCGGGTACTTAAAACAACATGGATGACAAGGCTAATAAGGGGCTGGTGAGGACCATAACAAAATCAATCAACCAGTACAGGCATGGAACAAGAAACAGGTGGAATACATCACAAATAACTAGCACAAGAAGTAGGGACACTGCCAAACACAAAGGCTAACAACACTGGGGAAAAACTAGGAACAAAATTTCAAGCAGAACAAAATAAGGCACAAGCAGGGTAAACCAAAGCAGGGACACTAAGGTAAACCATAATCAGCACTAAGGAAAACCAAATTATAACTTACCCAACTGGTGACTGGAGAAATACAGCCTCTGAGCTGTACGTTCGGCCAAATCAGCCAAGGCAGCAGCTCGGGGATCAGGGAAACATCACGGGCTGAAGGGCTACAAGACAGAGAGGGGGGAAGCAGGATGTCCAGTGACACCTGCTGGGCAAAAAGGCACAAAACACATAGGACAGGGATAGATAGGCACCAACCCTGACAGTAAACGCACCCCGACAGCCCAACATCGCCATGTAATGAATTTGAAAGATGCTGCATAGAGCGCATGACTCTGAACCAGTCAGCACCTTTGAAGAAAAGTATTTCAAATCAGGACTACTGAGGATCATTTAAGATAAGCTCAGTATACGCGCTTCTAAGACGGATCACAATTATTTCAAGGTAACGCCACATGACACCCAGACAGCTGATTTCCTAACTCTACACTTGTCATTTTTAAAGGTTGCAATGATAATTAGATTTTTTGTAGATTTCATATCAAAATAAAAATTGTATTACATTTTTAAGAGTTGTAATTCATTTTCTATCAATTAAATTTTAGATATGATTTTATATAAAGATTTAGAAAAGCTTAATGCCAGCCAACGAAAAGGCTAACCTTTCCTCAGTCGGCACAAAAAAATGGCGATCCTGTTACAGTATATCTCAAAAAACTTGTATTTCAAAAGTAACTGCTATAGCTTAAACAATCGCCATGCCAACTGCGTGACTGTATTATATTTCATGGGAGGCAGGCGTCAGTTTTAAATATGGTAATTCCCCCTACTTCGGGTGTGATCCATTGTCAGGGCACAGAATATAAAACAGAAATAAATAGCACGATGGAGAGAACCGCCTTAAGCAAATGTGCCCTCAGTCACAAGGGCTGTTCGGCTATCATGTATCGCACAACCTTTCCTGGGGCTGTGAAGAGGCGCACAGAAGACAGCACCTACTTCTCATGTAACAAAAGTTTTAGTACTGTATATATTTATATATTCCTCCTTTGGGGGAAATAGGAAATGAATACTGTTAAACCCAGCTTGCAATCGCGTACTTTAGCCTTAATCGAACATTATTAACAATTCTAAGATTACTTAGCTAACATGTGATCACTGTCAAAAATCTTTGAGTGTCAAAGGCAGATCTAATGGATGTAAATACGTGGCCACCCCACACCAAAGTAATAAAATCAGACTATAGAAGAGACCGGGTTCCCCTTCCATAAATATAATTGGCCCCTAATGGCCGCCCCAATTAATATTTTATGCTGGTGCCAATGATCAGCATATTATTATTATTATTATTATTAATTGATTGATTGATTGATTGATTGATTGTGTTTCTGGTATAAAATTGTCATGCCTCAGATTCAGAGCTTCCAGGTTAAAACCCATTTATTGGTTTTTGCATAAATAGTCAGACACAGAACACCCCAACCCCTGGCCATCCATCCACCCCCCCATCGTGCCACGGTCTTGAAGACAGCTCTCTGCAGGAAATGAAGAACCAGCGAGACTTTTGCCTGCTGACTGAATGGGTGGCTCCCAGGTGAGGTGCGCAAGAAGCTGTAAAAAATCTACTAAAAATCTGCAAAAATAATTCTCACCCGTTGTTTAATTTGGCTCTTACTGTGCAATTGTTAATATAGAAAACTAAAGCATCCGTTAGTTTAAGTAATGAGGGAGTGGATTTAGGGTGTGCCAAGTTTCGAGACGAGTACGGGATATAAAACGGGATCGTTGTGTAACTTCTGGATGCGCTGTCGGACTCCAAAAGACCTTACGCAATGTAAGTAGATTGTCCATCCAGTGCCTGCATTTATTTATAATTTATGTAAGTAATCTAGACGCTCCTAGATTAGCCGCAGAACATACTTGTTGGCAGATTATCATATATATATATATATATATATATATATATATATATATATATATATTACACCAAATATCTATTGAATAGACGGACATGCTAATTATGGAATTAGGGAAAAATAGATTCCTTGTAAAACAGATTGAGGTAATCTGTGTAGCATCTGTATGAAACAAAAATGTATGGTGCCTCATTCTACAGTCCCCAAAATTACCTTAACGTCTCCGTTATATCCGCTTGAACGGCGCTGGGCTGGTGGATGCTAATTCTGTGATATATAAGATTGACATCAGTGTTGCCAGCTTTGGTCAGCTGGCTGGCGTGAGATTTTCAATTCGGGATAAGTTTGCACGCTCATTTACATGTAACAGTTTTATTATCGTATAAATAGTCTGTAAGGCTTGCAAACTACCCCAACGCTTTTGATGTAGCTAATTTTAGGTTTGTAATGGAACAATATAGATTTGCCGCTTTAGTTTCACGCAAGATGCGTGAGAGTTGGCGACAATGGATTATGTTTTCGCGGCTTGATGTTTATTATCCGTGCACGAGGGGAGAAAGGAACGGGAGATGCCGCACCGATCCGCGTAGTCAGCTGAGTTGAAAGACGAAGCTATCAATTTACCGGTCATTCTACATTCCTGTCCTCACCTATGGTCACGAGCTTTGCGTCATGACCGAAAGAATGAGATCACGGATGCAAGCAGCGCAAACGAGCTTCCTTCGCAGGGTGCCTTAGGGATCGGGTGGAGAGCTCAGACATTCGGGAGAGAATCAAAGTAAAACCAATGCTCCTCCCCACGGAGCCAGCTGAGATTGCCTGGTTGGACATGCCCAAATCATCCTAGCCAGATACCAGAACAAAGACCCCAGGGCAGTTATGTATCTCAGCTGGACTGGGAACGCCTCAGTATCCCTTTGCAGGAGCTGGAGGTGGTGACTGGGGAAAGGAAGGTTTGGGCATCTTTGCTTAGACTGCTGCCCTTCATGGAAGATGGATGAATAGATGTTTCCAAGTGGTCTTATGCATGCGTGTGATTATGTTCCAGGGTTTATCTAGCAGGACTGGTGGTGCTGTTGTCGGTTGCAGGGGTCGAAGCAAGAGTAGGGTAAGACTCACCATAATCATCACGTACAGTAAAGCTAATATTTACCATTTGGTGTGGTTGGCACAGCCGGGAGGTAGCCAGAATGGCACTGGTTTGCGCTGACTTATCTGTCGTTCATTCCAGTAATTCCACCGAATCCAGCTTCTGCACTGAAACCAAGGAATGCCTGTTGTTTGATCTGGTGTGCAAGACCTCAGATTTTGAGGTAAGAGTTTTGAGGAGGACACATGTATGCATACCTCTCCATGGGCATTCAGTTATGGAACAGTTTCCACTAATTCTTGGTAGAACGCATTGGTAAGTTTTGATCATGAAGACGTCTTTACTGAAGATGTTTCTACTACTCCTTTTTTTTTTGGATGTTCTGGTCTGTCGCACTTACTGTGGTCTGACTGAGCCTTAGGGTGGTCATCATTGCTTGATGTGACCTCTTCTCTGTAACAAGTACCATGCTGAAACGTGAAGATGCGGTGCCTTGTTTATGGGCGTAGGTACATGCGTTGTTTTGAAGGTATATTGCTTTGGTGCATGACTTACCATAAGATGGATTCCAGTAGATGTACAGTATAATGACTCTAAGCCCCCCCCAGGTCCGTCACTACAGCTCAGTCAGGTGGGTCTCGACAGATGTGACGTCCCACTTGCTGGATATAGCTCAAGTTACAGGCTTCTTAAGACTCTACAAATACATCAACGGTGCTAATGTGGATGGTGAGGCCACACCTTCCTGATATCTGGTATTTCGTCCATCTATCTGTGTCAACGCCCATCTTACTATTCTCACATCTCCTGGCAGGTGTCAAGATTGACATGACAGCTCCCATAATCGTGAAAGTGGAGGAGGATGACAGCTTTTGGGAGTCCACCGTCTTCACCATCAACTTCCTGTTGCCCTCGGCCTTCCAGGGGAACGTTTCTGAACCCACAGACTCTACGGTGACATTGCCGTCTGCAGCTTCTTCTTCTTCTACCTATCTATCTCAAAGTATGGTATACATACCACTAGTACACACTCCCTCTAGTGGCAGGCAGAGGTATGTCCTTTTTAACAGTGAAAAAGATGTTGCGTTGGGAGATTGATACTACTTCAAGTGGTACGTGGTGTGTAGAGTTTGAGAACCACTGTTCTAGAAATATTCTATTCATAATAGAATATATGGAATATTCCCATTCATACTTGTTATAACTCAGATTACCCTAGAAGTATGGAAGTCTGCGTGCTGTTTTGGTTTCGCTCACCTACGGGAGCTTCTGCTCTCAGGTCTACTTCACAGACATGCCAGACATGAAGGTGTATGTGAGAGACTACGGCGGCTTGATGATATCTATAACAGACGCCCTCAACAGGAAATGGCTGGCTAAGAACCTCAAGAAAGTCAACGCTTCGTATGTGGAGGAGTTCCACTATGCTGTGAAGTATGACAGGTATACGGCGGGTCTCGGGGCAGGTGCTGTGGGTGTCGTGCACCCTGTGCTTATTTCCTGTGTAGTCAACCTCACTTCCACTGTGTGAGTTATTTGTATTTTAGAGAGAATCTATTGGTATGTCTGTGTGTTGGTGAACCGCTAAGGCTAATCCGTAGAGTCGTCATCGTGTGTCGTCAGATCCTGTACCGTAATGATTTGTGTCTTTCACAGCCCCACACAGATCCTGAACAGACGCAACGAGGTGTGGTACGTGGTTAAAGGTGACCCCGTGTGTTCTGACCCAGATGGGACCCAAAACGGCGCCAGATAGCCATGCGATCCCGCAAGCTGAGGGCTTCAGACAGGGGCTTCTGGAGGGAATTTGGGGAGGGGTGTGGTAGATACTAACAGGGAAGATGGAGCCTCAAATATTCATGCAAGTCACCCATCAGCAGTAACGTAGTTGTCAGTGTAGAGAATCCCGCTGCTTATGTTCACGCCTGTGCATGCAGTTATGCGCGGTATCCTGCCATGTATTTTATTAGCTTTAGAAATATTCCCGACTTCAATGTCATGTCTTGGATATTGTGAATAAATCAAGACTTCTGCAGTATCATACAGTTTGTCATACCGTTTTGTTAAGTAAACGATTTTGATCCTCTATAAATTCAAGAGAGTTTTCTCTTGAAACACATGACAAAGACGCAGCTACCTTACGTGGGATTATTACGCCACGATAGACCGTGTTGCTCGGGAACGTTGCGACATCTTCTGGCCACCTTAAGAATAACCGGTGCAATGGACAACAACACTTCTAAGTTTCAAACACCAATTAAACGCTGCCCACAGCGATCTGAATAAAGGTTGGCAGTACTCCACAAAACCGATCCAGGTGAATCTAAGGTTTCAGTTTGATTAGCTCACTCGTGTATTTATAGCCCAGTTTGAAATGTAATCTAAGTATTTCTTACTTATGCCTCAATATCTGAAAAGCAATTAAGGCCTCTCTCAAACACTTTTAAGGATTCTCCTCCAAACCTCATCCTCATTAGTCTAAGTGGAGAATTTGTCATACCGGTACCTTTTTGAGTTTGTGGTGACAGGCTTCTGGCTGCGAAACAAGAAGGAGATGTCATCAACCACCCTTGGACCGGAATATCTCCCTTGACGTGAATCACTGCGATATTGTGCTCTAACTGCATAGTTAAACCTGAGAGAAAGTTGGAAATCAAGCACCGGAATGTGATTAAACATAAAACTAGGCTATCTTTGAAATATAATGCATCCCAATCACCACCAGTCGAATATGCACAGATGTCAATTAACTGTAGTAGCTTCATTACATCCATAAAAAAATTACTTGTCAACGAGGATGGCAAGAATGTGTTCGCCCGGCAAATGAAAATGAGCCGTTTCATAACAAGCCTCCAAATAACAATACAACTTTTCATGCAATAGTAAAAGTACAATAAAACCACGTTGCCCGTTCAAATTTAAGTGATAACAGGTTTCGGAGACGCAGAACTAGGCTACATAAACAAAGCGTCCGCCTGTCCTGGAAACACACGCGGGTCCCGGTGTCGTTTATCTTATCAGTGAGCTCAGATCAGCTCAAACTCACTGTCTTAACATCTAGACAGGGATTGCAGGTGGACCATCGGAGCAGCGCCCGGGTAGGAGTGTCGGCCAGGTAGCGTTTTATTACTCTCGCCATGGACCAAAGTCCAATGAAGGTGCTCTGCCGGTTCTGGGTCCTTCCTTTTACCCCCCATTCCATCGGGCTCGGTCCGCCGTGGTGCCCACAGAAGGGCTCGGGGTGACGGCGGCCTTATCACCCTTTTGTTCTCTACCAAGATGAGTGAGTTTCAAGCGGACCGACCGCCAACCACGGCGTTACACCTCGCGGATTATCCGACGGACCCGATGTCGAAAGAGGGAACCTCCACGTGTAAGTAGTCTGAAGATAACGTCCTTTAACCCGGGACGACACGATATGGTGCACAAGTTGAAACAATCGAGTTTCTTTTGATTACCGTTCTCAGCATGTAATGCTTGCATCCGTTGGGGCGGCGACCTCACATTGCCGTGAAAGGGGGAGACACGGGGCTGCCAACTCTCACGCATCAGACTGTCACGCTCACACAAATCTTACGGAAAATTTATATTATTCCATTATAAACCTAAAATTAATTACATAAAAGGCGTTGGGGTAGTTTGCAAACTCTACGGACTATTTACAGGGTAATAAAACTGTTACATACATTTAAATGAGTGTGCAGACCTATCTCTAATTGAAATCGTTGTTAATACTCTAAGATGTCCTCTGATTACCATGATCTGCATCATTCGTTGTAGTGACATCAGATGTTATAGAAAATAGCGAAAGATGTTTTAATTTGCAGGTGCGGGCAGTCTTCCCATACGTTTTGCCGTTAGTGCCACATAACTGCTAAGCATGGGTGATTATGTAAGGTTTATCAATGAATAGCCTTATAGCTCTGCGTAGGGCAAACAGCTAATGGTCAGGTCACTTCGTGATCAGCCTCCCACACCTGGTCACATGATGAGACAGACTTCGGTATTTCTACCCACACTCTACTGCTGTCGCTCATTTTACAAAGCAGCTAGCAACATAAGATAATCAAGTGATTCATGCTGACCCTCCAAGTGCCAGTGACGGCCAGATGAAGCTCCATTGACCATTTGCTGCATTCTCTGATTCCAGTAGATGGTGGTCTCTGTTCATAAAAGGGTTCGAAGCATGCCCCAAAGCAAACCAAGAGCGCCATCTAGTGGGGTAAAAAAAATACAGCAAATGGTTCATGAAGATTCATTATGGCCATCACTACGAAGTGCCATCTGCATGTGAAGATCATATGCGATCTTGTAGTCATCGGAGGAGAAGTCTGGACTGCAAGGAGAATTTCCCCAGAGTGGGAGCAGGTCTACATCCACAAATATGGACCTAAACCATGGATCTACAAACATGTTATGTTTGTATGGAAGCATCAGCTGTGCACTCGAGTGATATTGTGCAATAATGGGTGCAGAGATGTACCCGTGGGGAGGTGCGTATCAGTAGAGGCTGGCTTGTTGCTTCTGGGGGTCCCACTCAAAAACCACTTCAGGTCCTCCCCATATTATCCAGAATTAAACAAATCGCTAGCAATGAGTGAGAAGATCGTCGACAGTTTGTCGCTTAACAGAACATGCTGCTTCATCGTTCCTTAAATAAGGAATGCATTTATTTAATATCTGGTGCAGTGACTATTTGTGACCATCGGGGGGGGGTCCCCCACACAAATGTATGGTTTGAGTGGTAATAAACACCACTGTTGGGAATCAGAAATGAAGAAAGATAATGACAAAATTCAAACCTGAGGATATGTTTAGAGGCTGTGTCTACCCCTGTGTGTGTGGGTGTGTGTCCCTGTGTATGTCAGTGTATCCCTGTGTATGTCGGTGTGTCCCTGTGCGTGTGGGTGTGTATCCCTGTGTATGTCGGTGTGTCCCTGTGTGTGTGGGTGTGTATCCCTGTGTATGTCGGTGTGTCCCTGTGTGTGTGGGTGTATCCCTGTGTATGTCGGTGTGTCCCTGTGTGTGTGGGTGTATCCCTGTGT